ACGGTATTTAATGCCTCGGAGGCCGAGAAGGCGTTCCGATTCATGACAACCGGTAAACACATCGGGAAAGTAGTCATCAAAATGAGAGACGAAGAGATGGATAGACAGCCACTGAAAGCCATTAAACCGGCCGTCGATATGATGGTTACGGTTAAGACGTATTTCAATCCAAACAAAGTTTATATAATAACTGGAGGTTTGGGAGGGTTTGGACTCGAATTGATTCATTGGATGCAATCCCTGGGCGCCCGAAAATTTGTGACAACTTCTAGATCTGGTCTTAAGACTAATTATCAGAAATTTCTGTTCAATCGTTTTCGTGAATTCGGAAATAATTTGAAATACTTTGCGTCCGAATGGTTGGTCTCGACCGCCAATTGTATGACAACTGAAGGGATACAACAACTCCTAAAAGAATCCCAAAATTTGGGATCCATTGGAGGGGTATTTCATTTGGCGCTTGAATTGAATGACTGTTTATTACAGAACCAAACATTTGATAAGTTTTGTTCGTCTAGTGATACCAAACATAAGATTTTTTCAAATTTGGATGAAATGACCCGAAAATTGGAGTATAGTTTGGATTATTTTGTCGTATTTTCATCGATGGCCTCTGGTAAAGGAAACGGTGGTCAGACTAACTACTCATACGGGAACTCTAAGTGTGAAAGTATTTGCGAAGTGAGGCGTAGGGATGGATTGCACGGACTGGCCATACAGTGGGGACCAATCGGTGATGTCGGAGTGTTTGAGTCCAACGAATTACAAGCACTTCAACAGACATTCTCTGCTTTGACTTTAATGGAGAAACAGCGGATCCACTCGTGTTGCGATGTTTTGGACAAAATGTTGGCAATTAATGCACCGATTGTTACGTCATATGTGAGTTGTACTCTATATTCAATATATTTTTATATGACTATGTTTCAAGATTATACTTGTAGGTAATGTCTGTAGATTTTTAACATCACATGTAGCGTTCCCAAATCAAAAACTCAAATTCCTTGAGAATCCCTATTTGTACCTCTAAAATATCCTTAAGTTCCTTGATTTTAAAAAATTGATCATAAATTTCCTTGAGGTTCATTTAAATGGTCATATTTTTTGAAAATTTTTCCTTGAGCATATGACCGATTCCTTGAAAGTCCTGCTTGAATCTTGAGATTTGGGAACCCTAATTACATGTAGTTTTTCAGTCCTTTTCAATTGCAAAGTATAGATATAGTTTTTAAAATAAAATTTGTTGAATTACTAGCAAATTAACAGCACATCAAACATCGTCCGCTCGGAAAGCAGTGAAAGCCGTCGATTAGCCGACAACTTATGGCGCGCACTGGGCATCGACCCAAACATTACGCCCAATCACCTAACCCTCGGTGAGATTGGGTTGGAGTCCATGTTTGCCATCGAAATACAGCAACTATTAGCCAAACAGTGGAACGTCAACCTGACTCTCAACCAATTGAAAACCTTAACCATTGGTATGTTTAAGGAGTACGAGGCCGATAATGAGACGGGTATACGACAGCACCTGGATGAAATTAAATCATTTCGTAGCTCTATGCTGAAACAAAAGTTTGTGATTCCCGTCGATAAGTATATACGACTGAATGATAAGACTGTCGGACGGCCCGTGTATTTCATGCCAACACTATTCCTCAACTTTTCGCTGTTTGAGCCGTTGGTTCAACGGATTAATCGACCGGTGATTGGCCTCAACTGGACCCGGGAGGTGAGCGCACTGACAACCAGGTTACAGGTGCACCAGTATTACTCCGACCTACTGGACGAACTGGTCCCTAATAGTCAGTACGATGTGGTGGGATATTTGGATACGGCGTCCCTATGTTTGGAGTTAGTCCTGAATGGGAGGGCAGATAAGGCGATAATCGTCGAGCAATTGAGTCAACATCTGATTGACGAGCAGAGGAGCGATGACCTTATGATTGAGTTTATGCTGAGAATGATCTCCAATGAGATTCCAAACGCCGTTCGCGAGCGTATTGTACGGGCCATGAAAATTTTGCCTGATAGAAAAAGCAAAATATCTACCTTGGTCACTGATATCGTAAGTCTGTCCAACAAAGGCCTCATTGCATCGGATTTAGAAGAAATCTTTCATATAATGTTCGCCCGAATTTCAATGTTTTTGGACGATATGTCGGATAAGAGTCGCACATTTAAGTCGGCATTGAGGTCGACAATCGTGGAAAAGTGGGCAAAAATATCGGGCAAATTGATTATTATCAAGATGGATTTTGCAAAGGATTTAAACGACATGATTGATAAAACTCTAGAGGGATATTCATTGCCGGACACCGAGGTTTGGATTGAATTTATTATGTTTCTACTCTATTTTAACGAGAAAACATTCTTTGTCAAAACACAAATTTAAACAAGACTAACTTATTTTCATTTAATTATTTATAAATTACACCAATTCCCAGTGATTTAAAATAAGTTGATTAAATTAAAATCTATTACATAATTTTCGTATCTAATTGATAATTATAATAATTGTTATTTTACCAGGCTGGTATTACAAATATACGAGTGGAGTGTGTGGGAAACAAATTCACTGAAATGACCCCGTCCATATTGCTTCTTAACGACTTATACGATAAAATTGAGGAATCGCTAAATGCTTAAAATTATTATACATTTTGAAATATGATATAAATTTAAATCCTACATTTTTGTGTTTTTTGGTGCTGGGTTAAATGATTATAGCTAAATATTAGATTAAGTGAATATAATAAATTTTGTTATTTTGTAAATGATAAAAGTAATTTTTTGTTACACAAACTTTGGGAAACTACTTGTACTTGATTGTATATTTTAATCTAATTTAAATGTGATTTGGTATTAAAACATTTTCCGATACCTTAATGCCTCCTCTATCAGATTATGATTTTCAATAACCAGAAAATTCTGTACATGACAGTATAGGTGCAAGCAAATAATTATTAATATATTGAAAGACAATTCCAACAAAGTTGAGATCACCCAGATCCATTGAGCCGTTGCTGAGATTTATGAATTTCAAATCATCACAATTTTACATAAAAAGAATTTTTAAAAATCAATAAGGCAAAATTTCCCAAAATCCAGAAATTAGTTTTTTCATATTGACCCTGCGTACAATTTCCAAAAATCAAAACTTATCTACATCTTATAGTTTTTGAGTTATTGATGGACAGTCATATCTATCGTTATTCTTATGTCTGGATAAAATTGAGCATACCAATAGATCGGTGCCAGAAAATAATAGTTGCAAAATATTTTATTTTGTTCTAGCTCAATTCTACGATTTTTAAAAGTAAATAAACCAATAAATATCCTTTTGGCAAATATTTTATTCTAAAAAATTAACAAAAAATTAATAATGCATAATAATTTTACAAATTATGAGCTCTCTCACTTTCAATGTGCCAGTGTACCAAAAAGTCAGGGCCAGAAAGAGCTTTATCTCCTGATAATCTATATGAATAAAATTAAATATGCTCTACATACACTATGTATAAAAAGTTGTATTGTAAGCGCCAGAATAAAATATAAAACAAAATATAAAACAAAATTTTATTATTAATTAATATAAAATTCTTACATTATTAGATAAAATTTGGTACTGTGTTTACAATATTAGCACATTTAATTGTACCATTACTATTATTATGGCTAGATTTAAGCGTAACATTTGTTTTAATAACTAGTGTTAAAAATACAAATATTTTTAATATAACAGTTACGACAATAAAATGCAACACATTTGAATAAAACACATCAACATTTTGAACTGTATCTATACTATCAATACCATAATAATAAAGAATAATAGAAAATTGACCAGGTAAACATCGGTTAAATCCATACATACTGATTAATATGCACTCAAATGTGTGTCTCAGAAAAGAGTACTCGCTTAAAAACTGTAGGAAATAATGTAAATTTTTAGCCAATATCACCTGGTTTCCTAATAAGCATAAAACTGTCATGATAGCCATGGAACTCATGAGCGAGGTGCGTTTGTCGTTGGCGAAAATAATTGCTGTAATATATGCCACACTTTGCAAGCATAACATTAATAACAGATTAATCGAGAAATATATGATAAACGAGGTAAATGTATGTTTCATATCGATTACCAAGCAATAAATTACAAGTGACACCATAAGTGGTAGAATATCGGTTATTGATTTAGCCCATAAAAATGATCCCGTACTGTACCAACCTAAATAGTAAAAGTAGATGCAATTTGAAAGTAAATTTTAAATTTAAAAATAAACTCACCATTGCGGTGTTCACTGCAAAATATCTGTACATCAGTGCAAAATGTAATCGAAAATATGTACATGATCATAACGGGAGTTATTATTACTCCCCCTATTATGTACTTGATGTTATCTTTAATTAAATACTCATTTTGAATATCCATTTCCATTTGATCACAATCGGAACTGTATCCAATGGATTCACAACCATCTGGCTTAATGATATCTATGCTGAAAACTAGTCTTAACAAACCGGCGCAGTATATTAATATAGAGATTTCCATCACTAATACTCGCCATTGACTGATGTATGAGTAGATCATAGACCGCATCAATAGGTAATAAAAGTCACGAAAACTGAATCTTTTTGTGAGGTTTTGTTTGCCGTAAACTAATCGCATGTTTTCCGCAATGATTTTATTGTCTGAATGTTTGGCCTTTTGTTTTTCAAACAGTTTTTGGAAACAAGAACTTTGTTTATCATCGGATGAGCCTATTTTGAGCATCACTTCAATGGGGACGTCATATTCAGTCAATAAATTTTCGCAGTCAATGAGGTGTTGTTTCAATTGCAGGGGAACTCCATCGTATAGACAATGGCCTCCTTTGGCCAACACATAGATGTTGTCAAACATATGAAACAAATCGTTGTTTGGCTGATGAATGGATGCTATGATAGTCATCCCATGTCTTCGGGACAACACTTTTAAACAGTTAATCACCTGAAAGACAGATAACAAATAGGATTAACACATGAATAATAGGTAATACCTAATTAGAGAGATGTCTGACCACTAGAGCGGCACTACTGTCCAAACCAGAGGTCGGTTCGTCAATACATAGCATTTTAGGCTTTATATGAGCCGTGAGTTCGCAGGCGATGACAATCCTCTTGCGTTCGCCGCCACTACACGTCTCGACCCTATTGTCCGCCGTATCGCTGATCACCAGCGAAGACATCAACTCCGAGGCTATCATCCGGTGATCCAAATGAGCGCTAATTCGCGAGTTCTTCAGTCGCGAGGCGTAGACCAGAGTCTGTCTGACAGTCAAACCCCGTAATAAGTGTTGGCAAACATCCTGTTGTATAAAACACGTCCGAAATCCTCCGCTTTTCACACAAATCCTCGACTCGTCGCTCAATCCACTCATACTCTGTCCGTTCAGACACTTCAATAAAGTAGTCTTTCCCGCACCGGACGGTCCCATCAGAGCGTTGAGTGAATTGTTGTAAAACTTTCCGCAAATATTATCCAATATTTTAATACAGTTTTTCTTGTTATAAAAAAAGTTGTTTGCATTAAATGTTAAGTTAGTCCACGATATTGTAACATCATTACCATGATTATTAATATTATTAGTGTTTTCATCAATATATAAGTCAACTTTCACATTTATCATATTATTATTAGGTTCCTTATTAATTATGGTAGTCTTGATAAGTTTAAGATTATAATTTCTCATAAAATCATTTGTTTTTACAATAAATATTATTAACTTGATCATTAGAAGTATTGTTAAACAGTACATAAATCTGTCAGAATAGTTATAATAAATTTGATCTGGTTCATTATCCAGAGCGTACTCCATGAGCACTCTGGACGTGTTACCATTGGTCGGGCATCTGTTAAATCCGTATATAATTATCATAATTGAGTTGAACTCATATTTAAAGTAATTATATTCAGTCATGTGTTGCAGTATTGGAGACATGTTATGGACTTTATATACGAAATTGGAAAATACTTTTAGATATAGCAATACAGTCAATGCAATCAATGGGAAAATATCGTATTTAATAAATATGAGTCCCACTATTTCAGTGACCACCTGATTGCATAGGAATGACATTAAGATTACGTAAAATAACTTGATTAGCTTGTGTGATTCATCAAGGTATAGACCAAAATAATTTAGTATTAATGTAATAAGCAATGCAAACAATATTGTACTTATTGTGGTCACCCATAGATTCGATAAAAAGTACGCTTGTGGATTGTACCATGCTAGTTGAAACGTAAAAATTTGTAAATAACTAGTTTATTATTTAGTTATGAAATAAATTAGCTATGTTAGACTTACCATTTTGGTGTTCCGCTACAAATATCTTAAAATCCCGGGTCATATTGTTTGATATAATTATTACTTGAAACACATTTGCGAGCAATGATAATAAAAACAAGAAATATTGGGTTTGAGTTAATATGGATTTTTCGGACTCCCTTTCAATGCAACTCTGTTTCGATGAGTCAATCGTTGCATTCAAATGAAGACATCCTTCAGTTTTGTACGCATTTTCGTCCAAACATTTTACTAAACATAAAGTCATTGCTATTAAAATCACTAATTGTTTGACAAATGCTTTCCATTGCGAGACATATGTGTAGTGAAAAAATCTGATGAATAAGTTAAACATATCAACGAAATAGAAATTCTTGTTATTAGTAGTGATTCCGGCGTTCATTGCAATCATATTCTCTGTATTTACTGTCAATTCCTTATTCTTGTCGCACAATCGCTTCACATCCATGTCCTCTCGTCCATTGAAACTCAATTTAATCAACACTTCAATCGGCACTTCATTTTCACTGACAGTTATGTCGCAATCAATGAGATGTTGTCTCAATTGCAGGGGAACTCCATCGTAGAGACAATGGCCTCCTTTGGCCAACACATAGATGTTGTCAAACATATGAAACAAATCGTTGTTCGGCTGATGGATGCTAACGATGACTGATATGTTGTGTTTACGGGACAGTTGTTTCAGACATTGGATGACCTGTTGATAGGAATTCAGTAAAAATATAAAAATATTTACTTTTCTCGCAAAACACTCACGACTTGTGCCGCATGTGTGTCGAGACCAGTGGTGGGCTCATCGATGAACAGTAGGTATGGTTTGGAAATGGATGTCAACTCGAGTGCAATGCAAATGCGTTTGATTTGACCGCCA